TTTTATACCCAACATATGCAAAGTACTGAAACCGGCAATGAGTCACATTTTGCACAAACTCCCCTGCAGTTTTCAAAATGTCCCAAACACCCCAATTTCGAGGCCGAAGCCATATTTTGAAGCCAAATTCAGGCTTTCTGCACGTATTCGCAGTTTGATATAACGACTTTTTGTACCCAACATATGCCAAGTACTGAAAGCGGCGTTTGGTCACATTTGTCCCAAACCTCCCTCCAGTTTTCAAAATATCCCAAATATCCCAATTTCGAGGCCTGAGCCATATTTTGGAGCCAAATTCTGGCTCTCTGCATGTATTCGCAGTTTGATATTACGACTTTTTATACCCAACATATGCCAAGTACTGGACGCGGCAGTGAGTCACATTTTGCACAAACTCCCCTGCAGTTTTCAAAATATCCCAAACATCCCAATTTCGAGGCCTGAACCATATTGTGGAGCCAAATTCTGGCTCTATGCACGTATTCGCAGTTTGATATTACGATTTATTATACCCATCATATGCCAAGTCCTGAAAGCGGCAGTGAGTCACATTTTGCACAAACTCCCCTGCAGTTTTCGAAATATCCCAAATATCCCAATTTCGAGGCCTGAGCCATATTTTGGAGCCAAATTCTGGCTCTCTGCACGTATTCGCAGATTGATATTACGACTTTTAATACCCAACATATGCCAAGTACTGATAGCGGCGTTTGGTCACATTTGTCCCAAACCTCCCTCCAGTTTTCAAAATATCCCAAACATCCCAATTTCGAGGCCTGAGCCATATCTTGGAGCCAAGTTCTGGCTCTCTGCACGTATTCGCAGTTTGAAATTGCGACTTTTTTATTCACAACATATGCCAAGTACTGAATGCGGCATTTGGTCACATTTGTCCCAAACCTCCCTGCAGTTTTTAAAATATCCCAAATATCCCAATTTCGAGGCCTGAGCCATATTTTGGAGGCAAATTCTGGCTCTCTGCACGTATTCGCAGTTTGATATTACGACTTTTTATACCCAACATATGCCAAGTACTGAAAGCGGCAGTGAGTCACATTTTGCATAAACTTCCCTGCAGTTTTCAAAATATCCCAAACATCCCAATTTCGAGGCCTGAGCCATATTTTGGAGCCAAATTCTGGCTCTCTGCACGTATTCCCAGATTGATATTACGACTTTTAATACCCAACATATGCCAAGTACTGATAGCGGCGTTTGGTCACATTTGTCCCAATCACCCCTGCAGCTTTCAAAATATCCCAAAATCCCTATTTTGAGGCCTGAGTCATATTTTGGAGCCAAATTCTGGGTCTCTGCACATATTCGCAGTTTAAAATTTCGACTTTTTTTTACCCAACATATGCGAAGTACTGAAAGCGGCGTTTGGTCACATTTTGCACAAACTCCCTTGCAGTTTTTAAAATATCCTAAACATCCCAGTATTGAGGCCTGAGCCATATTTTGCAGCCAAATTCTGGCTCTCTACACGTATTCGCAGTTTGATATTAAGACTTTTTATACCCAACATATGCAAAGTACTGAAACCGGCAATGAGTCACATTTTGCACAAACTCCCCTGCAGTTTTCAAAATGTCCCAAACACCCCAATTTCGAGTCCGGAGCCATATTTTGGAAGCCAAATTCAGGCTCTCTGCACGTATTCGCAGTTTGATATTACGACTTTTTATACCCAACATATGCCAAGTACTGAAAGCGGCGTTTGGTTACATTTGTCCCAAACCTCCCTCCAGTTTTCAAAATATCCCAAATATCCCAATTTCGAGGCCTAAGCCATATTTTGGAGCCAAATTCTGGCTCTCTGCACGTATTCGCAGTTTGATATTACGACTTTTTATACCCAACATATGCCAAGTACTGGACGCAGCAGTGAGTCACATTTTGCACAAACTCCCCTGCAGTTTTCAAAATATCCCAAACATCCCAATTTCGAGGCCTGAGTCATATTTTGGAGCAAATATGCCAAGTACTGAAAGCAGCGGTGAGTCACATTTTGCACAAACTCCCCTGCAGTTTTCAAAATATCCCAATCATGCCAATTTCGAGGCCTGAGCCATATTTTGGAGCCAAATTCTGGCTCTCTGCACGTATTCGCAGTTTGAATTTCGAATTTTTTTTCGTAATTTCATACCATTTAATGTGGTATATTATAATAATAAAAGGTAAACAATTGGTAGTTTAAGAAGGAGCCATAACAAAGTGGTTTAGGCTACCAATTGTCCCTCCCATTAGTGTGTAAGAAGATTTCAGGCAGTTTACAAGTATATACAGTCCACTCAATTAATTCTTACTTAGAAAAATAAATAAGACATAACTTTATCTTATTAAAGTCAATTTAAATAAAGAGATTAGCTGCCTGGAGTTTCCCCACACAGCCCTGGTGCCTTTGGTTCGATTCCCGCTCTCAGTTTGTATGTTGACACTGGCTTTCTCTCTCTCCAGGACCGCCGTGATCGCTACTATCTTCGCTATCTTGCGTGGTCCTCACAACATCCTTCCTCTCACCTCTGTCGTGCTTTAACTTTGACTCCTCCTGTGGTTCCTGTTCATCTTCATCGCCTCCCTCTTTCTGTCCGGTTATCTCGCTTTCTGTTCGTATTTCTAATGTTTCTCCTCGTATTGTTCCTTGCCTCCGTGGAGAGTACCCCTTGCAAAGTTTTGTACGTCCTTGACCCGCATCACTAAAGCTTTTACCCCTCCTAGGGTTCTGAAACGCCTTTTCCTTGAGCACTTTTCTTCGCACTCCCACTCTGTTTCCATCTTCACCGAGGGGTCTAAGTCTGCGGACGGTGTGGGCTATTGTTTTTTTCCTGACCGCACTTATATGTGTCGCCTCCTTTCGGAGGCTAGCGTCTTCACAGCAGAACTTTATGCTGTTCTCTATGCTCTCCGTCTCTTGCTTTCTCATTGTCAATCCTCCTTTGTGATTGTAGTTGACTCTCGTAGTGCTCTCATGGCTGTAGGGTCCTTTAATCCTGTCCATCCGGTGGTCATGGATATTCAACATTGGCTGTTTCTTATTTCTAGTACATTTAAATCGGTAGAGTTTTGCTTGGTTCCCAGCCATATTGGTGTTTCTTTAAATGAGCATGCGGATGCTGCCTCTAAGGAAGCTATCCGTTCTTGTCCCATCTCCCATAAAGGTATTCCCTACTCCGACTTTTATCCTGTTATTCATTCCTCCATCCTTGCCCATTGGCAGGGTTGTTGGTCGTCTGTAGTTGGTAACAAGTTGCGTACTCTCAAATGTAGTGTGTCCCTGTGTCCTTCCTCCTGCCACCGTAACCGTCGGTGGGAAACTGCTCTAGCAAGTTGCTGATTGGCCATACTCGCTGAACTCATGGTCATTTAATGGAGCGCCACCCTGCTCCTTATTGTCCAAATTGCGTTGTCCCTCGTACAGTTGTGCATATCCTTGTTGAATGTCCTGACTTCCAGGATGTGCGTGTGTCTTGCTTTCTGACTACCCCTCGCGGTCACTTGTCCCTGGATAGAATTGTTGGTGAATCGGATACTTTTGATATCGTTCGCCTTATGCGTTCTGTTCTCGTTCGCCTTATGCGTTCTGTTCTCGTTCGCCTTATGCGTTCTGTTCTCGTATTGGCATTCTTGGTGATATTTAGCGCCCTCTGATTATTTCGCAGTTTGAGGGTGCTATGTAGCCTTCTCGGTTTGGTGCCTTCTTTTGAAAATTACCTTACCTTACCTTTCACTGCATCAACTTTTGGTGAATGATGGATTCATACTCGAAGGTCCTTATTTCATCATTCTATTTCGTTGTAATGTTAATGTGGTTGTTGTGATATGGATTGTAAAACCTTGCATGTGAGCCAGAACAATGTTATTTGTATATTAAAAAGAATTTGTCAGTCTTGTAACCATTTTTAGAGTTCATGTAGATCTTTGTAAGGCCTCGATATCATTGGATTTTTTTGACTCTATAAATCTTGGTGTTTGATGTCATCGATTTATAAGGTTTAGACCCTTGTGGTATGAATCTCGCAAAATTTTCCAGTCATTTCTGTTTAGGACGCTTTAATTTGACTGTTACCATTGAGTTTCTACCATTGATTCTGTGCCTGTTTTTCCCCTCCTATTCTTTCATATGGTACCTTATCAACAGCTTTAGCAAGCAAGTGACATGTGTACCAGAAGTCTTGTTTGAATAGCTGGTTACCATTTCCACAAAAAAGTGACCAGGTTTGTTTTTAACAAACCAATGTGTTATTACAAGATCATTGAATGATTGTCACCTCGCAGATGAGAGGTGAAACTAATCTGACAGTTTTGTGCTTGGTTATTTCGAAGATTTGAGTGACATTTGAAATCTAGATAAACTTGTTATGAACATCTTTTAACTTTAGTAATTTTGGCTGAGAGTTCATTTAAGTTTGGATTAAATTCCAGGCATGTGGTAATTATAAATTTTAGTTTGTAAGGCTCTTCCAGTTTATGGTACTTTTTACAGGTAGTGTATAATACACTACTATCCTTAGTTCTATTCATCAGCTTGAAACATTTGTGGTTATGGGATGTCTGTTGTGAATAATGAAATTTTCATTCAAAATATTTGATTTGTCCTACCAAAGTCCAGGAAATAAGGCAGACTGGTCATGTCTAATATTGTTTCATATACTAGAACTTTCAAAGTTGGATTTTACTTCTGACAATAGGTAGTTTCATACTTTCCTATCAAGTTTTAATATCTAGCCCATTATAATTAACTTTTGATTACTGGAACCACAGTGTTCCAGGTCTGGCATTTAGTGAGGTATTGGTGTAAAACCATATTGTATAGATGTTTTAGTTTGACATTTAAGTCAACGTATATTTTTTTTACAACACTTCCACTAATCTTTCAATGTTTAGATGTTGCTTAGCCTTAAATGTAGTCCATACAATTGTTAAATTAATCTTAAGTCAAGTGTAAAATTAAGATACTAATTTGCAATGTTAGTTTATCTATTCTGCATAATTTATCAGCTTAATCCAGTTTGGCATATTACATGCAGAAAACTCTGAAGTTAGTGATGTCAATTAATTTCACTTTAGTAAGTTAGTTATAAATTTCAGAAGTTCTTTAGATGTTAGACTTTGCATCAGGAATAATCAGTAATTTCCAGCATGATAGAATCTTTGCTAATTTCAGGATAAAGTACAGTATAAAGTTTCATTGGAATATTTATTTAATAGTTTACAGTGTAACATTAATATTGACTATTGTCTATTTCAGGTTGTGGGAAGCTGCTCCTCCTAGATGCAATCCACTAAAGACTCAAAGAAGATCAAAAGGCCAGGGAAAACTCCAGAGTACCAAGGACAACATCCACCTGTAAACGAAAAATAAAGTATATCAAACACTCATTTTATTAACACTAACACATACAAATTAGTACCAAAACCCCCAAGTCCCAATCTTTTAAGATTGGCTCAGCAAGGCCTACCCCTTACTTGTAATTTGAGGCAGGACTTGTTGGCTGAATGAGTGCATCACATCTTTTGGTTTAGTGCCCTCAACATGATGTACATAGGCTTGTTGTGAAGCCTATGTACATCATGTTCCAGGCACTAAACCTCTGGATGTATCCACTCTTTCAGTGAACAAGCCCTGTAGTTATTAACAATGTTTGCACATTGTTAAGCGTCCCTACACCTATGCAATTCTAGTCCATCTATTGGATGGGTAGTAGAGCAGGGCTCTGAAAAAGCCAAGCCAGGGAAATCTGCAGGACTGCCTGGTCCCCTTCTATGAAATGGGGTAGGATCAGTACAAACTGCATCAATCCCTGCAGGTGGTAACAGTAGGACTTTGGTACACATCTATAAATGGACTAGATGAAAGAGAGTAAATCAATTAGTTGACATAGCTAAAACACTTAATTCCACATACCAACTTTCGTAGATTTGCAGAGTAGAACAACCACACTGAAGCCAGTCAATGCTTTGATGACATTGTAATCTTCCATACCACCTGAAACATTTAAACAAGATTTTACATATGCAGGTTCCTTTAATCTTACAATTAAGATTGTTAGAATTCTCACTTTAATGCTAATCAAGCAAACATTACTTAGTTTGACTAACCATAAGTACAAAAAAGTCAGTAATATCTCTCGGCAATTTATTTATCTACATGTAAGCATCATTTCAGGTTATCTTCAGCCATAATGAGTGATTGTTTAAGTTAATGTTTACTACCACACTCGCCTAATTCAGAATGTCAAGCAATTAACACCTTCAAACTCAGGGCTGAAGTTCTCGACTTTCCCATCAATATTCTGGAAGACAATATCTATTTAGGCTTCAAATAAATAAACTAAGTTGAAGTACAGTTACCATTCAATATTTAATTTGTGTACTATACCATCATTAAATGATTCTTTAATTTATGAACATAGCCTTTTAAGCTACAAACATTAAATCCATGATGTCAGTAGACCTCCCAGTTGGTATTCTTTTACCATGTTGTGGCACAGTCTTAAAGCACAACTGGGATCCTCCAACAAGTTTGAACCCCTCATCACAGCCCTTGTGCAATTTATAAATGAATGACTTCTAACCAAATAAGAACCATGCAACCAACTTTACACCAGAAGTTAAGCAAACAAATTAAGATTTAAATAAAACATTTTTCATAAAATCTTTAACTTGCAAATTTATGCCGTTTAACAGTTAGTGCCCAACTTTACATTACTTTAAAAGTCCCATTTATTCTATTCAAAGCACAAATCTTGCAAGAATTAACTTTAGGATATAGTACCCACTAGTCAAGGCCTTAAACTAGTTTCTATTTACCCCATTTCCAGGCCCCTTCACAATTTCTTTAAATATTTAGGTAAAAATTATGTAAACACATTTTACCTATTAAACTAAATAAACTTACTTTTGCCCTCTAATTCTGAGGACTATGCTACTTTCTGTAGCATTTAACACTTCCAGCAATTGTTCTGCAACCATTCCTGAAGTTGTTGGAAGGACCTACAACCTGTCAATGGAACATTAAATATGGTTAATAAGGTTTTGCATAGAATTTCATTTTGTTCAACTTTAAAATATTTGTCATTAAAGTTACACTAACAAATTATCTACTTCCCCCCATCATATCTAATTCATAAATTAGAAGATAAAGCACTTTTGAAGTCCACATTTAAGGTTTATATGCTACAAAATTTGTATTTCAAATTTATAGTTAACGATTCCCCTCCCCCCATATATCTTTGGTAACATGTATTTGAAACATGCCAAGCAAACAAGAGTTGTTGCTATTTATGTCAAAAAAAAACAATACGACAGATCTTTCATTCTTGTACAGCCACACGCATGCGTACCATTGAGGCCAATAACTTTATTCCATGTTACCTCAGAACACTAAAAATTTAACTAGGTACCAATTTTACACGGTTAAACAGACGATACAGTTCCTCGCCCAGGATTCATGCCAAATCACTCTTGCTTGCGGATCAAATGGGATTTAATTTTAAATAGATAAGCAAACTGTACAGAGATCTAAATGTATTTCCCATTTCTTGCCACTTGTAAAGAACTTAAACCTCATTTAGTAAACATTTATAAAACCAACCAAACCGGGAAGGCTATGTAGTACCATCGAGTGTGGAAGTTTAAGGCACGAGATTCAAGAACGTGTTTAAGGAAAAATTTAAGATTAGAACCACAGCTAACAATTGAGAACCCAGTTCGGTTGTGACCTGCACTGGCTCCACCAGAGTACCACAGAGGTGAAGAACCTGCTAGTCATAGGGAATGAGCTTACCCACAATATTGCAGATCTTCCAAATCTGCAGCAGAGGAGTATGACGTAATGGTGGAAACACTTCCAACTCTCGCGCCTCGCTGTCCGGGTGGTCCAGCAGGCCGCTGTACTTTCTGAAACAAAATATAAGAAATCAGCCATCTGCCAGCGTCACTTTTCCAGGCTGCACACTTACAGCCGACAACCCTAGCAATCCGCAGTCCAGGGAACGCACTTCCGTGTGCCCTGGGAGGTAGAGCAAGGAATAGAGGGTAGCATCGAAGACTAATGAAAACGAGGAGGGTGCAAGGAAGAGGTAGTAAGGAGAGGTCACAGCACGGAGGGTGAATAGGTTCCAATCAGCTTTGGCAAACTGCCACCTAGGGAAGGAGAGGGGAGGGTGAAAAGACAAGGGAAAACAAGGATGGTGAAATGGTCACTTATGGAGGTTATGAACCCTCCACGAGATCTCAGTACAGAGACGATCCGAGAAAGATCAAGACAGGAAAGCGAGAGTTACAGTCCACATGGGGTGGGCTCACCAGAATACAGGGAAGAGAACGAATGGTTCGATAAGGCCGCCTCGGGTGTGTCAACATCACCCCAAAGGGTATGTCGACAGTTTAAATAACCCAACAGGAACACCAGCTCTCTTAAGGAGTCCAGGAGGTTCCTGACATCAGGAAGGGAAAGAGGGACATTTGGGGGGGGGGGGGGGAAATTTAACAGACTACATTTTACTCAAAAACATGGCTAGCAAAATAATGGAGAGGACATGGAAACAGTAGGAGGACAAAGGGATTATCAGTACGAATCAAGAGACCATTATAGTTATGGGCCCCAGCAAGATCAAAAGGAAAGGGGGGGGGAGGAGAAGGGGGAAGGGTAAGAAAGGAATAACCACGACAGTTATCACGACGAGCACCAAGCATCGGCTCCCAGAGACAGTGGTGAAACCTAAACAGAAGTTGGAGTTCATGGGAATTAGCATAAAACCCATGAACATTCCATTGAAGAATTGACATTATCAAAAAATAAAAGGACAGCAACAGAACAAAGAAACAAAGGTAAATAACACAGCATATTAAAAAAGCTAAAGATCAGAACAAGGTTTAGCGGGCCATGGGTTAACTTAGTAAGAACGGAGGGAAAAAAAGAGGACACCAGAGGCAGATTGACAGGGTTCAGGGAGGGGGGGGGGGCTGACAAGGCCAGGAGGATAGGGGGTAGAAACTCTAGGTCAGCAACCAAGAGGGAATTGGGCCAAAAGAAACTTCCACATTAGGGACAGGGGGGCTCCAACCAATAAAATGGGGAGTAAGCAATAGTTAGGGGGCGAGGAAGAAGGGAATGCCGTCTCTTTTCTTACCCGCAGGGGGAGGAGGATGGAGAGGAGCCAGGCTTACGTTTCTGACGGACACGTGTTCCAGTAACATCGTACTGGCCGACTGGGTAGGGTCCTAAGTGAAGAATGGGAGTGAACAACAACAAGATTGCTGGGAGGATGATGGACATCAGCCTGGACAGACAGGCGACGTGGAGGGCCAAGAGGTAGTGGGGAGGGACAGGAAGGATCGGGGAAAACGAAATGACTTGGCAGACAGGGTAGGAAAAGGAAGGGGGGGGGGGGGGAATCCAGAAGGAGATTCACGAGAGATACCTTCCGACCCAGGACGTAAAGGAACAGGGAAGGTGGTGGGCATGTTCGGGTCCAAGGCCTAGAAATGGTTGTGGGACAAAGGTGGGAAGGACGAGAGGTAGAACAACGTGCGAGCATAAGATACGCCAGTGAAGGGGTGGACACTGCAAACCGTGTCTTGCCTCTGGAAAAGTCAAATGATCCTGGTGTTTCAAGTTAAGGACTACTTCAAGCTTTGAGTCGATACACGTGCGAGAGAATGTAGGGTGGACCTCGCCGCAATTCAGGTAGCGAGCCCGGGGGATATGAGCAATCTGTCTTAGAGTGGCTATCGTCCCCACACATGGGGCAGAGAGAAACGAAGACTTGTGCATTTGAGGGCACCGTGCTCTAACTTGCCTCACTTATTACAATGAGTGAGAGGGGGGGATGTACTCTTGAACAGGGCACCTGGCACCAGCAAGAATGATAGGTGGCTGAAGGGTCTTACTATCAAAAGGTGATACTATCAAAAGTGAGGTTTGTTTTTAAAAACCAATGTGTCGATATTACAAGATCATTGAATGTGAAATTATGAAAGATTGTCACCTTGCAGATGTGAAGTGAAACTAATCTGACAGTTGTGCGTTTACCCCCCTCCCCCCTCTACTGTACGTCACGACAACCAGAAAGGGAGATGGACCTCATTTAGTAGAAAACTTATCACTAATATCTACAGTATGGGCAATGATAATCTATACAATTGTGTTCTATTAACATTTTTTCAACTTTTAGCTTATGTACACCTACATTAAGTATCCTAATGTACATGAACTTTGGTAAAGACTTACTATAATGCCTTGTATACTTTAAGTTTGATGTTGGCGACTATATTACCAATAGGTAATATATAAATTGGATTTTAACTACCTTCAAATACAAACATTTGCTATAATAAAGTAATTATCAAATTGAAAACCAATATAATAACCACCCTTTCACCAAGTTATGATCATTATTCTAATTAACACAATGTTGTACAATATTATAACTACAATATTTTCCAAAACATTTATTCAACTTGCCGACTTTCAATGCAACAGGAATCTATCTTATCAATGTGGAGCGGTGATTATTCCTTCAATACCATGCACCACACTACAAACTTGCAACCAACGTTTCTAAGTTACGCTTGGCTTTAACAACTACAGCAAGTTGGGAAAAAAACTGCCTTGCATCACCTTGTTGCTCAAACAAGGTAAACTGCCCAGAACACCAATATATTTATAATCTAGTAACAAGTAAATTTGTAGTCAAGACAGATGGTGCCAAGAACCTTATTAAACATTACAAATCACAAAAAGCTAGTTTCAATAAAATTAGAGAAAACTAAAATACCACAATATCACTATTTACAATAAGTGACTTCAACTAACCCAGAGTTTTTAATAAAATTTAATTTCAATACATTGCAACAGCCATTTCAGATAATGCGTCTCCACCTGTCAAGAGAAAATATTAATACATTAGTATACTTTGTTACTATTAAGCTTACAAATTATGAACTTAGGTACTTTAATATTCATAAAGTGCTCTCAGTATAACAAGTCGCATTAGAAAGTTTATGAAACTTACTTTAACATTTGCACACCAAACCAATAAATACAAATTAAAATAATTACATAATAAATTTGACCATGCAAGGGAAAGTTTCAAGAATCTAGTAACATTGCACTGATCAATGTCACATTTACCACTAACCTCACCCCTTAGTCTGACATTTAACACTTGACGGCCATTATGGTGTGTGCAATGAACATTTTAACAACCATTTAATTTTTATTACGCAACATACTAGCTAAAAAATTACTGAACTACCAATAAGGACAAGTTATGAACCGCCTTAGCTACCTCATCCTTTGTTGGATTTTACCTAAATAAATTTATTTCAATGAACTTTTATTTTCCTCAGCCAATGGATCACCTAAGACTTGTGTACTTCATTGACAATAGAGTTTATTTACTACAGAGACTATTGAGCCTGTATATCGAGTAGAGATTAATCATTACAGTGGCCAGTTTTCCATAAGTAAAATAAAATTACCTATTAAAATAACAGCAGCCTACAGCTTGGGGGTTATTTAAGAAGAGCAATTTGAACGTTTGTCTTTACTACTCCAACAGGTATGGCCACAATCAACTTTCTGGAAATATTCAAATTTTTAACAAAATTGTGGACCATAATTATTAAACTGCAGTACCACATTCATTGTGCATCAATGTTAATTGATAATTATACAATTTAGTATTTTAGTAGAATCAATTTTGTTTATGCCAAGATACTAGATTATAAACCTAATCATTGTCATGCCCTTTAAGACTGACAATACGTTAATGCTAAATTACAATAGGCACAACTTACAACCTCTAAAGTATTTTGACAAGGAAATATCTATGGGTTTGACAACTCTCCCAAGGGAGATACAAGCCTATGCTACACTTTAATTTCATTTTCTTTTAAATAAAAGTTATATTACCTAATTATTTGCAACTTCCCAAGACCGAAGCTGGAAGATTCACCTCATGCAGTCAATCTTAGGAAACAGGTGCAAAGACTCGCAATATAAAAAGTAGCATTGGCATAATTAATAAAACTACATTTCACAATAGTAAAGACTGACTGACTACACAAATCTCCCTGGAACTACCAAACTGATTAATTTTATCTAAATTTAATGGAACAATTGCCTACTTTTGTAAGTACACTTTGCTCTGGTTATTTTTTGGTATCTAAAGTAGGATTCAGTCACCATTTCCATTAAATATTTAAAGTGTTGGTTTCCCCAAAATTACACAGTATAAACAAGGCTATCATGCAAATTTACTTTGCAAATTAAGCTCCTAATATAGGAGCTCCAGCAACTCCTGATACATGGATTTTTTAAAGCTTTCCAAACCTACCACACTACTGGTAAGTAAAAGCACATTTAATAACTTACAATGGATAAAAACCAATAGTTAAAAAATAGTGAAAAGATCTTACAAATTACTAAACGTCGCAGAACCATATATTCTATTTTTTGGGCTGACTTAAGGATGTTAATTCGTGTTAAAGTGAAGGGTATGAAGCCCATACAAAAATGGTCATCAACACATGTAATTTGAAGACAAGCTAATTTAAAACTAAAGCTTAACAAGTGCAGCATAATATAAATGCTAAAAATATTACCTTGCCGTAGATCACGAGGAGGACTAAGTCACAATCACCAATCAAAATTGCACGAGTGGTAGCTTCAGTGAGAAAACCCAACACCCTGAAAATAAAAGTTTACACTTTAGAAAGCAGTTATACAACACTCATTCGCCCAACTAATCATACCAAGGCATGGACACTTTACCGATTTTATCTGCTTTAGAGGATATTTAATACCAGCCAATAAGTCATTCTTTATGAAACTGCTATTAATAAATTCGGTACATTGCAAGTCAGACAGGATGGTACCAATTTCTTCACACTGAAAATCTATGTTTGCAAAACTGTCAAGAACAATGAGTGCAACATTAAAATGGTTTAAAGAGACTACAATGCAGAACAAAACTAGAGATGCTTTTCCCCCCCACCCACAGTTACAATCCAATGGAACAGTCCCACTAAAGCCACGAGTGCCAAGCTATGCTGCCGTTTAAGATAAAGCTTTACAAAATAAGGAAATGGAAAAGAAGGGGGTACCCGAGAAACTGCCAAGGGGAGGGGGTCAAATTATCTGTACCTTTTACAGTTTAGTGTAGACTTTTCCTCCCCACAGGATCTGGGTATTGTCCACTCCACCGTCGGGCAGAGTTGGTGCCGGCTGCTGTTTAGAATGGGTGCCATCTCATGCTATACATTACTTCAGGAAACTAGTGCCTAACTCTTCGCCATAGGGTACATCAGCTCAGGACCTCACTAACATGTTGGGAGGCAGTCAAAGACTAGCCAGTCAACAACTTGGGCTGGAGAGCTGTAGCAGCTGAAACAATTTACCACCTGCAAATACAATTTAATTAAAGACTAACAAAAATGGCAAATTTTAGGAATATTGAGTAAATTTATGCAGGACCAAAGAAATGAAAATCACTCAAAACATTTAAACACAAAGTGGATCAGTTTTCAAATGGGCACCAGAAGGCAATTTAGTAACCTTTAGTAAATACAGAAAATATTTGTTAAAAATACTAATCTGTCATTGTCCTTTATTTGACCTGTCAGTTTTTAATGGACCTATCCTTTCCCTAGTCTTAGTTCGATATAACTGAAAAAACCTTTAGGATTTTACTTTACTTGCTCTGCTATGCGAACTTTAGTTTCTTTTTGCTTTCCTAATCTAACATTTCTAAGCAGTTTTATGAATTCCTGTTCTAAACCGACTTCCCCATGCTTAATCCTTTTGTACCAAGCTCTCTTTACCTATAAGGTTCTTTAAATTCTTTGTTATCCACTTTGGGTCATTAGTATTTGATCTATTCAATTTGTATGGTATACTACATTCCTGTGCTTTGTTTAGATTATTCTTACACAAGTTATATATTAAATCCACATAGAAATCCCCTTTTACGTCACCTATTGCTGGGTTCATGTCTCTCCAAGACCGGCCCACACCCCATATCTTGAGAGGTTATCTTGAGATGATTTCGAGGCTTTTTTTTAGTATCCCTGCGGCCCGGTCCTCGACCAGGCCTCCACCCCCAGGAAGCAGCCCGTGACAGCTGACTAACACCCAGGTACCTATTTTACTGCTAGGTAACAGGGGCATAGGGTGAAAGAAACTCTGCCCATTGTTTCTCGCCGGCGCCTGGGATCGAACCCAGGACCACAGGATCACAAGTCCAGCGTGCTCTCCGCTCGGCCGACCGGCTCCCATCAGCAGGACGAATGCCACGCTCATTGATCTGATGCTTTCTTACTTTACAAAAGTGATTCTGGAACCAGTCTTCAAAAATAATCTGTGTGAACCAGGCATTTTTGGTGTTTTAGTAAACGACAGGTAATCTGTTCATGCAGTTTTTCAATGCTCTGGGGTTGGCAGATTTCCCAACAATTGCGCACTTTGTTCGGTGACTGCCATCTGCATTACCGCACAATAATGCTGAAATTCTTTCCTTGCTTACCTTGCGACCAGGAATACTCTCCTCAAGCCTAGAGGCCAAAGTGTTTCTTTGAAGGCATTTCCAGTTAAAGCCTGTTTCATCTGCATTATACACTTGAAACCAGCTTAGATTATTAGATACCATGTGCTGAGAAAGTTTATATTTAAATGCATTAACACTTCCTACATCTGCACTTAAGGCTTCGCCACAAATTTTCTTGTTAATGATGCCATGCCTCTCTTTAAAAATCAACATACCCATCCAGTGCTAGCCTTGAAATTGTCAATGTTTAACTTTTCAGAAAGTCTTTCAGCTGCATTTTTAATAGAATAAACTGAAACAGCAATTCCTTTCGCACGATGCTGTGTAAACCATTTGAATTTGTGTCCAAATCCGTATATTTAGCAGGCTTCAATGTTTTCCTGTTGCCTATTGCATGAGTTTGACTGAGCAACGAATTTCCTAATATTATCCTTCTGCTTTTTTATATCACAAACTGTAGCTTTACCGATGTTGAATTCTTGGGCGAGACGGGTGACTGAGTATCCACGCTCTGCTTTCTCTATTAAATCAATTTTCTGATCAATTGACAAATATTTTCTCTTTCGTTTTAAATCTTGAACACCACGAATGCTGCTCTGAGACATCTTGACAGTATAAGAGTTCAAACGATAAAAATTGTTCAAAATTATCCTTCACGCGCGAGCAACACGTTTTCACACTGGGAGGAGGGGAGACAAATGGTGCCAGTCACATGTGGTGCCTGCCTCTACAGCCTTTACTGACACCACTACTGTACCTGAACAGTATTACTCCAGCCTCCCTTGACAACTTATACCACTGACAACACCTGCCCCCTAACAAAAAAACCCTAACTACTGACACCATTTGCCTCCTGACAACAACTCTCTCACCAATGCCCTCCTGACACCATTTTATCACCATTTCAGCTGGTTGTCAGCTGCGTGGCTGACAACCTACCTCCCATGAGAATACATACCCATACCCAAGACTTCCAAATATATTTGACCCAGAAAATTTCTTAGGCTATTAAAATCAGCTTTTCGAAAATCTGGCACTAACAATTTTCTCCTACAGGTCTATTCCATTCTATGCTAAATCTGACTTTTCTGATCACTGTTCCCTAGCTCACTCCCTATTTCGATGTCATTAATTTGTTTCCCCGTTAGTTAACACTAAATCTAAAATATTTTCCCGCGTTGGTTCCTTAATGTGTTGCGTAAGAAAACAATCTTACATTAATTCTAGAAAATCTTCTGCTTCACTATTCCGTTTTGTTCAACCAGTTTATTCCACTAAAGTTAAAGTCACCCATGACAAATACTATTAGATCTAGATGCTCTAGATATTTCATCCCATAGATGCTTTGCTTCCATTCTGTCTAAATTTGGTGGCCAATATATAACTCCTATTATAATATTTGCTTTCTTTTAATTCTATCCAAATAGTTTGTGGGTGGCTCAGTTTTTTTATTCCCTCGTTGAGACTACATTTCAAATTGTCCCCAACATACATGGCTACTCCCCCTCGTCTAATATATATGATAGTTTAAATCTATTTATTTTATGTTCAGCTAATAGTCCTCTATTTTCTACATTCATCCATGTTTCGGCATGTGCAATAATCTTTTTTTCTGTGCAGACAAGAGCATTTAATTCGTCAATTTTATTTCTTAGGGTATATTGCACCAACAGTAGAAGTCTAAGTGAATTGTTATTTTGAGGCCCTTTTCTTTCCCTGATCATTTTGCCAATTCTTTTCTCCCACGAACACATACTTTAATTACCTCCTTCCTCCAAATCAATTCCCATAACACTACTAACAGTTTAAACCCAAACAAACACCTCTAACCACTGGTTCCAACGAGTTTGCAATAGCAACAACCCCAGCCCTCAATAGATGCACCCCATCACGAGCATACATTTCATTTCTTCCATAGAAGTGTTTCCAGTTGTCTATGAAAGATATTGCATTTGATTTGCAATATCTTTCCAGCCGGCAAGTGACACCAAGTGGCCTAAACATCCATTCATTACCCACTCCCTTTCTTGGAAAAAAGGGACACATGATCAGGATTCTTCCGTTGCTCCTAACTAATTCAACGGCTGTCCTGAATCTATTAGTTCCTCACTCCTAACTCGTCCAACATCATTACCCCCCTGCACTAATACAAATAATGGGTTTGTTCCCATTTCCCGTCATAATATCATTCATGTTTCCAACAATATCACCAATTCCAGCTCCCGGATAGCAAACCCTTAATCTGTTCCCCCTATCTCTGGCACAAAACGTTCTGTCTAAATACCTCACCTGGGAATCTCCCACAACCAAAATTCGCGTTGGTACCTCTAACTTTCTGAACAGCCTGAGGGGTCTGCGCTTCGCCGCTCCTCGCCGATTTCCGTTTCGAGTGAACTGCAGGCTCACCACAACACTTGTCGTCCAACACGGCAAATGAATTTGCTGTCATTAGGGCGTCTGTAGGCAGCCTTGTCAAGGTCTTCAAGACCCCTGTCCTTAACGACTATCCACGACGAGGTCTTGTTAATATTGGTCTCCTCCGTTTCTTCCCGATGTTTCAGCCATTTCAGCTGTCGTTCTATAAGTAAGGAGTCCTGTAAACTCTATTACCAAGATTAAAGCTTTGGTATAGTGATGCAACACCTATTTAACTTCAGTCAACAGTATACATTGTTATCAACTTTGGCTTTCACTATTGAAATATTTTAATTAACTTTCTAGTTAACAGCCATATTAGCTTCCGATTAAAACTAGGCCTAAGCAGGTTAGAAGATAAGAATGAAGGCAACTCTAGAAGGGCTGTTGGCCCATACAATGCAGCTCTTTATATCCACCCACTTATACTGAACAATTTACATACGCTTGAAACTATCTAGGGATCACAAATCACAACGTGATGCATTAGATGAACAAATCCACAAGGGCCGTGACGAGGATTCTAACCTGCGTCCGAGAGCATCCCAGACGCTGCCTTAATCGATTGATCAACGACATGGTAAAAGATTTTACCATGTGCTCAGTCTATTAAAGCAGAGTGATGCTCTTTGACGCAGGTTACAATCCTCATCATGGCCCTTGTGGATTTACCTAGGGATCCCACTTCCACATTGTTACACGTTAATTTGTTCAACCAAAACCCTTTTGTCGAACTAGTATTTACCCAGGTCTTTCCTAAAGCTAAACTAGCTAATTCATACCCTTTGTTTCGGGGTCGTCTTGTGCATACTCTTAATACCCCATTAATATTCCCTTATGTCCATTTGTCCACGTTTACACCTATCATGTCACTAATTTTGCCTTTTTAGAGGCATGTATTTATGCCTTTTCAATCTTTTCATACAACACTTTTCCAATTTGTGGGGTTAACTTATCCTACGTTGAATGCATTATTTTATAGCCGTTCTATAGCATGCCAACTAGAACTGCATCACCTAAATGGGGCTTTAACAAGAGCAAGATACCTGGAGAATACCAGGTATTTTATTACTAGTGCTTTGACAAATCACTGTCCCATTTGCCCCAATTATGAACATTTATGCATTTTTTATCAAACTCTGGTCCCTCTTGTAATCCACACCATCTAGCCCTTATCTGTACTATCATTTCCTAGCCTCAAAACCTTGTATTTGTCAGCATTAGACTGCATCTGGCAATTATACCATTTCAAACCCATCCTCTAAGTGATAGCAAGTATTTCTTTCCCGATTTTTTTAATTTTGCAATTCTGCAATTATTCCTTCTCCAACATCAACCGAGGTCCCAGAATAGCCTTGAGGCACCAACAATATTTCCTTTAACACCATTTATACTAACCACTTTGGTATAGCAATGCTCTAAACTTCATACAGCACCCAATATTTTGAGCCTATCTTTTTTCCATTTGGCACTATCAAAAATTTTTTTGCTAAAGTCATGGTACACATCACAAACCTTATCACTATTTCATCAACTATGCAAGTGTTACATCATTAACAGCTAATAGTAGAACTATGCAATTTATGTATGATTTTTCCAAGAGGAATACAAATATTTGTAGTTAAGATTAAAGTAATTTCCCACAATACATTAAGCTAATTGGCCGTTAATTTGACAAGGAAATTAAACCTTGCCTTGATGTGCTTCCGGGGCTTAGCGTCCCCGCGGCCCGGTCGTCTACCAGGCCTGGTTGCTGGACTGATCAACCAGGCTGTTCGACTTGGCTGCTCGCAGCCTGACTTATGAGTCACAGCCTGGTTGATCAGGTAACCTTTGAATAATTTATAAAAAAAAATTGTTTAAAATTTTAGTTTTCCTTTGAAACTGGTACCACATTAGTACCTTCACACGTCTAGTACTGCCTGACTAATAGGTAAAACCTCTCAAAGCTGCCCTTTTTTTAAGCACCCTGGCAAAAACTATCAGACTAGAGTTACCGTTTGTTTGAATAAACCACCATCCTCCCTGGTAACTGCTGAATTAGCCAACCTGTACTCCCAAAGTCTTGTTCGGCTGATAATGTTTAGTAAATACAGAATAAAAACCTCGTCATCTCCGTTATCACTTCTGACAGTTTTAGATAGACCTCAAACTTTCCCTAATCTATTCGATACATGACCTTTTGTGTTTGTCCTTAACTGAGAAGTACACTTAAAAACTCCAGCCGCACGTTAGGCGTAATTAAAGGGCCGGCCTCTGCTGAAGAGGCTTTTTAAAAGCTCAAAACAATCAGATTAAGCGTCTAACGTGGTTGCTTGGACATGTTCCCACATAGGTATAAGCCTATGAAACCGCCGAAACCGTACTGTTTAAACCGCTTTCAAAAGTGCGGGAATTGACAAGACCATGATTTCATGGCCTTTTCAAGGTCACTAGGGGTTCCGGCACATGAGGGGCGAGTTTATTTGGCAGCGTCACTCATCTTTCGAGTGGACACCGCCATAGCAGCATGTACAACACTCGCCAAGAGGAAGAAAACCCGCTGGGTTGTTCATCCTGTCACTTGTACCCAGACACAGCTGGAACTTTCCTTAACCGTCAAGTTAACAGCTCTTCAAACTTAAGATTAACATCCGTCAACCCTAAAAAAAGCTTAAGTTATTCCGCAAGATAACGATCTGGTCAATATGTTTCAAACCGTATGTAACTTACACAGGTAATTTACTTTTATCTACACAATTTCCCTCCCCCCCCCCCTTTATATTACTAGCGATACCCATTAAATAAATCTCAAAACCTAACTAAACAGCCTAAAATTAGTTATTAGCACAAATGAATTACAAAGACGCGCTTTAAAAAGCTACAAGACTCGCTACTTACCCGCTAGTCTACCACACTGGCCTACACATCCTCTTCCAACACAATTCAAACAGTTACTACCGATCTTGGCCCGCAACAAGCTTCACATCACTTACTTTGTCCAGAAACATATATAGACTAGCAACTGACCATAACACTCATGTATTGGATATAGAATAACGCGGGGTTAATGTGTAGTGCTGCTGTCAAAATATAGATGGCGCACACCCTAATGATCATGCCAATGGACTCACCTAGTTGTGCTTACGGGGCTGAGCTTCGACTATTTCTGCCCGAAACGCTTTGCGTAATAGTGGCTTTAGGCTTTGTATATACTAGCTCTACCAATAAATCCATCAATGTTTGTATCTCACCTTGTATGTATGTACTTTATCTGAATAAACATTTTGATTCTGATTTTGATTTTTGATTTTGATATTTGGTCCCGCCCCGCAGCTGTCAGTCAATTTGTGTACTAGCTCCTGAACCTGTATCATGAACCTGAACCTTATATTCTTATATAACATCATTATGTTATATAAGAACATAAGAATTAAGGTAACCGCAGAAGGCCTATACGAGGCTGTTCCTATTTACCGTGATGAGTTTTTCCAGCTGGATTTTAATATTTAACAGTTTTGGCATGTACAGCTTCGGCACGTTTCCTATCACCTAATACATAAGAACATATGACTAAAGATAACTGCAGAAAGCCTATTGGCCCATACGAGGCATCTCCTATTTATAACCACGCAATATCCCACCCACATACATGTCAAATTCAAAATTCAAATTTTTATTCGGGAAAAGTACATACATAGATGATGTGTTACAAACATAATGTTGCATTTATAGAGCTAGTACATACAATACCTAAAGCCACTAATACGCATAGCGTATTGTTCAGCCCACGCTTTAAACAATTAACGGACCCCACCTCCACTTTACGCGGTAAATGGTTCCACAAATCAACAATCCTGTTACCGAACCAGTAAACACCTCTATCATGTCACCCCTAACTCTTCGCCTTTCCAGTTAATGCAATTTAAGCTTTGTCAATCTTTCTTCGTATGAGAGGTTTCTAATTTGCGGGACTAACTTTGTCATCCTATGCTGGACGTGTTCTAGTGAATTTGTATCCATTCTGTAGTACGGCGACCAAAACTGAACTGCATAATCTAAATGGGGCCTAAACGATTCAGGAAGCTCTGTGTATTTCTTTGTAAGTGGGTTTGCTACGAAGGTTCCTAAGTGCGCCCTAAGAAGATGCTTAGGTGCGATTCAATAAGGTCCACTTAGGAAGAAATTTTATATTTCGAAGTTTTTTTTTTTTTTTTTTTTATTTTTACATGCAGAGCATGCAAATTAAATACAATAAAAATACAGAATACATAAAGGAAAACAATAGACCACCGGCCAGAAGGGCCGACAGCCGAGCACAACAAAACAGCATAGCACAACAAAACACATACACAAGAAAAACATGAAAAATACAGCATACATCAAAACATAAAACAGAATACAATGGCAATCCAGCAATCACAGTACAAAACAACACCTCCAAAAAACAAAACATACAACAAGAGGCAACAGGTAAAGCAACAGAAAATCAATACATTAGCGCCCCGTAACAAAAGGCGAGGCCAATTACAATAAAAAAAGCAGGCAAAAACACGTCACTAAACACCGGCCTGAAGGGCCAACATCAAAAACACAAGAAAACAAAAGAAAAATAAAACACACAGCAAGCACACAGACTACGAAAAGATCTCATACTTGTCCGGCCACTCTTCCGCCGGGAAGCGAATACAGTATGCTTCCCAAAGTAACATAATGTCCTCCGAAACATGGTCACTATTGAGCGTACGAGGATCGGGCATTAACTCTGGCACACCCACAATAAAACACTTAGCCCGACGAATCCAGATGGTAGAAGGGCACCACGGAGCAGGACGCACACGGTCAACAATTTCAAAATGCAACGGATGGTCAGCATCCATCGCCACTCCGGAGGCCAAGATGAGAGGGAGAGGCTCCTTCCCAAGAGGCCGGGCAATGGGCAGCACACTGGGAGCCTCCTCAGCTGCCTCACAGGGCTCCTCGGCAACCACTGAACGTTGCACCTGCCGGGACCCCCCCACGCTTGGCATCCTTTTTCAGCACCAGCTTGATGACCAGGATCCACACCATCCACGCCCGTAGGAGCAACCACCTCCCACTGCGGAGAACCTTCTGCAGGAGAAAGAACAGGAGGTAAATTAGACGCACAATCGTCAACAGCCGACACATGGACATCAGCCACCACCAGCGTCGTAGAGCACGAGGCACCCGGAATGCCACACCATCTCCCGAAGCTCCACCCGTGTCGTAGTCCTCCATATCAGCCCAAGCAGTAGAAGAGCGCCTAGAACGCTTGGGCACTGGCCGCACATCTTCACAGCCGGAGGCGGACCCAGAACCACGGCCCTCACGAACCGGGCGAACCAACGCCCGTCGCAGTACTGCAGCAGCCTCAACCACATGGGGAACCGGGCCGCACACAACAGGATGCTCCGCAGGTTCCCCAACACCCAGCACAGCCGGAACACCTGGCGAGGGTGCAGGACCAGGCGCAGCAGCAGGAGTCGAGGAAGACGCAGACGCACTCGGCGTAGGGACAACAAGCACCGGGGGCATGTCGGGCGACGCAGGAGGGGCCGCATCAGCAGCGACTGGGACCTGCTCCACTTCATCTCCGGAATCCACGCCCTGAGGGAGCGGCGGGAAATCCTCCTCCCGGAATAAGTTAACGGGTGCAGCAGGTGTCTCAGAGCACCCGGCAGCCTGATGCCCCAACTGGCCACACCGGAAACAAGTACGGGGCTGCCAGGCATAGTACACCCGAACGTAGTAGCCCAGCAGCCGGACAGAAGATGGGATATCCGACCGCAGGCGCATACCTAATGTACGGACGTTTATCTGCTTCCCAGCATACTTCCCCGAGGACAGCTTGTTCACCCGCACACTGATGACTACACCATACCTCCCGAAGAAGCGCCGGAGAAGGTCGTCAGGGAACTCCAGGGGCGCACCGTGCACACTGACATATGTCAGGGCACCACTTCGGTCCGAGATCGTAACGGAGCCGGCGCCATCCGGCAACTGCAATGAACGCCCCTATATTTCGAAGTAAAACAATGTTTTTTCAACTTCTACAGCCAGCACCGACATTGTAGTAAACAAATATGTTACATTTGTTGTTTACCTACGTAATTCTAAGAACCCAAGGGCCACTAACTATCTAGTGGCCTCGAAGAGGACAGAAAGCCAGCGGCTTGTTAAAGGGCCCGCCAATTGTCTTAATGATATTTTTTAGCTGGAATTTGGCATTTACGGCTTCAGCGGGTAGGCGGTTCCATGGGTTTATAGCCCTCTTGGTGGAAAAAAACATGTTTTCAGTCCTACTTGAGAGAACATACTCTCCAACACTATATCTGTGATTGTCCTGTTATCAGTGACTTCATACCAAATGGTATGAGGTATTTTGAGCTCTGTAATTACTTCATACACTCAGGAATATTGGAAGATATTCTTGTGCTGCACCCAGATTTTGCCAGTGGAGGCTAATAGATCAGCATTAAGTATTTTGTTCTCTCCTAATTCCATGTATGACTGGCCATCCTGTGAGGTGAGGATGTTGGGTGAGCTTGTAGCTGGTTTTTGATCTACACTGTGTGGTCCTTCATACAGAATAGATAAGCAGCACATTGCTGTGTATACCTAAACATGTTTAAAAATACATTGTTTGAGAGGAGTCTTGTAGAAACTGGTAAGAGTAATTATAATATAATGTTTCCATGATTCAGTGCTTACCTCTTGTGAAAATTGCTTAGAGTTGTTTAGTCAGAGTTGATTTGTTTTTTGTATTGAGGCTGGTATTTTCTAAATTGATTCCATGTACAGTATGTCTAACCATCCTGTGAGATGGGAGTATTAGATAAACTTATAGCTAGTTTTTTATCTACACTGTGTAATATTCCATATAGAATAGGGTAGTAGTACATTGCTGTGTATACCTAATCTTCTTAATAAAAAAAATCAGTAATAAAGATTTTAAATTATAGTTTGTATTATTACAAATTCAGTACTGTATTATCCTTATTAAATCATGTTGACCATGGATCATTAAGATCTCATGTTGATATGTAATAGTCATATTTCTTTTGAACTGCTAATCCATGCTAATCATTCATTAAATTGTGCATTATGTCTCAATTTTTCACTTCCTTGGATATACTGTACAGTACAAAAAGATAGGATAAAAATAAACCAGTAATATTTCTTTCATTATATTTTTCATTTAAATAACTGCATCAATATTTTTACAGCTGACAGGATTTGTTTTACCATACAGGTGCATTATTTGTTAAAAAAAATTTGGTTTATTGTTACACACAATGGTGCTACATAGCCTTCCCAGCTTGGTGCCTTCTTTTAATACTTACTGATTAAAAAATAAATAATAAATACATTTTATTCAGGAAAAGTACATACAGTTGATTTACAAACATAATGTTGGATTTATAGACAGAGCTAGTACATACAATACCTAAAGCCACTAATACTCATAGCATTTCGGGCAAGGTGTGGGGGAAAAAAACACAGACTAAAACTTAATAGTAATCGGGATTAGGTATAAATTGTGTTGAAAGAAGGAATAAAAAATACAAAAAGGGGGGCTAACATAGCATAAATCAGCAATTACACATGTTGGTGAACAGCGTTGTTTAAAAAATAGCAAGACATGGGTTGACATTTAGGAGGTAAGTTAGGTTACATGGAGTTAATTAGGCAGTACTTGGTTTAACTCTTAAACTGATTGAGAGAGCCTTTGACATGATTCGGGAGGTCATTCCACATTGTGGGTCCCTTGATTTGTAGAGCACTTCTAATTTGGTTACACACAGCCAGATTGAGTAACAGGAAGAGGTCTTGGACACAAATTTGTTCCATGCTAAATGTAGAGGAATCAGCTGAGTATTCCTCAAATAAAATAAGTTGCCTCAGCTTATAAAGAAAATAAAATAAGCATTTCTCAAATAAG